AACAAGGCTTCAAGCAGAGACTTCTACTAAGCTATTATTTAGATTTATACATATATGTTTAATATATATCTAGTTTATATATTAATTATAGTTTCATGTGAATATTTATAATCTATATTCTTTTGTATATGTGAAACAGAAATTCAGGCTTGACTATTTTGAAGAAAGTTAGAACGAATCCTTTGATAAATGACAGAGTCTAGGAATCAGTTGGTCAAGGTATAGTTTTTTTTTAAATAGGCAAAAGCTATCCTAAATGGTATATCGGCATCCTCTTATTTTTTAGTTTTTTAAAAAGCTTTTTGTGAATTTCAAAAATTTAGTGAAAATAGGTTCTGTTTTTTTTTTGTTGTTATGCAAATAAGGTTCTGCCATTTATGGTTTGAACAAAATGACGACCAAATGGCCACCGCCGCACCGTTGGCATAACTCCACCCATTTACGCCTTAGCATTTACGGTGTAGCATTTCGGCTGGAATTTCGACTATAATGCGCTGAATGTGGTCGTTGAGCTCCTCGATCATTGCTGGTTAATTGGCGTAAACGTTTGATTTAACATAAGATTGTCCTGGTCGATTTTATCAAATTCTGAGAAAAAATAATTTTATAGCACTCGCTTTTGATGGTAACGGCATTTCCTGTCTCATTTCGAAAGAAATAACGCTCCATTATGCCGCCATACCGCAATCCGCACCAAACAGCCAATTTTTTGGGATGCAATTGCGTTTCCTAAACCACATGAGGATTTAACTCACCACAATAGCGACAATTTTGTTTGTTGACGAAGTTATTAAGTCAGAAAGTGGTCTCATCTAAGAAGATGATTTTTGGTATTTCCAGATTTTCGACAGTACATGAATTGGCGCAATAATCTTGAAAAATTTCTAAGCGTTGCACCAAAGTGAAACGTAACATGATGAAAGACATGATGAAATAGCACACCACACACTGGTAAAATTTGACATAAATCTGTAAACAAACATGACCGCCACGAGCTGTCAGAATCAAGTCATCCCTATTGGTGAACGCTGTATTTGAAATATTGTTTGAATACTTAAAGTTAGTTGCATTAGTTTCGAAGATATTATCGCATTTGCAAAAGTTTTTTAACGTAATGTAATCGGTTTACAAAAGTTAAAGCGCGATTTCTCGAAACGGTGTTTTTAGAGTTTAAAGTGAGGAAAATTTCTTCGAAACGGCAGTAGAAAACGATTTGAAAATTTCACGCGAACTTCTAAAGTATATTTTTCAGGATTTTTGATAATAATTTCGATTTTTAAGGCCGCTCTGTAAAGGTTCGTAATTTCGTTTTATTTGGAAATGCCATTTTGTTAAAAAAGAAAATTTTAACTAGTGCTTCATACCTACCTACCTTCGATACCTACATTTATCTTTTTTAATAAACCATATTTTTGGTTTTGGATTCAAAATAGTTTTAAGCAGAAAAATCATATCTCATTGCCAGACACCGTGTTTTGTAAATCCTCCTGGTAATTGGCTACGGAATCAAGGCAATTCAAAATTGTTCATAATAAATCGCCGATTATTAAAATACATTCAATTCTTAACATTTAAAATTTTTTTTTATAAAATAAAGTGCTTCTTCAAAAAAAAATCCACAAATATACTTTTTTAAATACTTACAAGTGCATATAATATCTTAAGAAGAGCATATTTTATTGTTGTTGTTGTTGTTTTTTTTTTGTTTTTTGTTTTTTGCTAATAATGAACTACATTATTGGGTTCAATTATCGTTTAGTATCTTTTTTGAAATATTCAGCGGTTTTTAACCATCGCAGCATAACTTAAAATGGATGAAAAAATCTGAATCTGGCTTAACCGCGTTGGGGTATGTGTCTCTACTAGACAAAAAGTGAAGTTTCACACCTATTTTGTGATATTCCAAATTGCCAGCATCTCGATGAAGCTTTTCTTTAGGCTTCGATAACTATTTCGCCTGCCAATAAATGTTTAATTGTGATGTTAAATGGTTTATCTTAACCCAACTTAGAAGTTATTTAAGTTTCAGAGGGAATATATGGCTTTATGCATTGTTTTCAAACCAGTTAAAATTAAACAAGATAAAATTTGTTTAATATAATGATCTTACCTGAATATATAGTAAGCTACTTAGTGTAACTTATAGCTTTAAATGATATTTTGAGGCTTGGATATATTTATAAATGTAAGATCTCCAAACTTGGTATAAGTCAATACACATTTGTAATAGTCAGACAGCGACCAGCTTTAAAGTGAAAATCCGTTACCAGAGCTAAGCAAACTCATATAGTATCTCTCTATATACAGAAAATATTGCAACAACACAACCAAATGACAGTGGCGACAAAATAATTATGCTGGCATTAAGTAATTGCTGACAACAAAGAATTCCAAAATGCAAAAACAAGAAAAAACAAATATTTTAATCAAATTTAAACAAATCATTTACAAGATTGGAAGATTGGCGTTAGCCACGCCAAAGCGACACATACGAAACGAACACGCTACGAATGGCAAGCAAACGAACAAAATTTGATTATCGAATTCCCCAAGTATTATTTAACAAAATTGCATTTAAATACACCATGTTGGGTAACAAATTGTATGAACAATGGCCGAAGTAATATGCGACAACATTTGCGCTTATCGCGCTGCTGCTGGCATGGACGACTAATGCCGAGGCAAAATGGACAAAATGCCAATAGTTTGAACAACCAACACGTATTAGGCATACAAAAATAACAACAACAACAAAAAGTTAATAACAGCAATAACAATAACAAATAACTATTAATGCAGCGACAGCAAAAGCAGCCGTTGACTAAATGTTTCTTGCATTATTTTTGGTGTTGTTCTTGTTGTTGTTGCTAATAATTTGCATTGTCGCTGCTGACAATGCGCTGTTTCTGCTGTTGTTGCTGCGACGGTGTGGCATTTGCCGTTGTTAGATTGTTGGGCACTTATTGTTTTTGTTGCTGCTGCAATTTTTGTTGTTATTGCCTTATTGCATATTTTGCTTGCACTGTAAATTTGCAACAGCGCATTATACAGTTCAAAATGACAAAGCACAACAAATAGCGTTGTTGTCATTGTCGCTGTTGCAGCTGCCTTAGTATAGCATTATTGTTTTTGTTGTATTTTATTGCTTGCCTATGCCTGCACTTTGCAATATATGCATGTGTCGCCTGTTGTGACATTAACATAAAACAATAGAAAATTATTAGTAAATGCATGTGATGCAACATACAACAACATCATAATATGACAATAACAATAAATACAACAACAACACCGACAACAATTTGCAATAGCACTTTACAATGCACTTTAAATTGCTTATGTTGTGATTGTAAATTTTGTTGCTGCCAGCCAGCAGCTTTGTGGTTAATACCTGTTGTTGTTGTTGGCTGCTATTAATGTTTCTATCTGTGTGCATTAGCATATGTATAATACACACATGTAAGTCAGCTAATTAGCATACATATTGTTGCTGCTCATTTTCCCCTCCCCCCGTGTCCTTAATATTGTTGCTGCCACCCCTTAGCCTCGACCTGCAGCAGTTTAAAGCACAGCATGTGCAATAATATTAATACATTTGGAATTTTATGCCTTAAAATTTATGATCAACTCTGGTATTGAGTTCTCATTTGTCACAATGTGTTCGCAAAAGGTAACGGAAGTGGCATGCAACTGCCTTGTTTCACTGTGTGGCATGTGCTACAAATAAGTTTTGCTTTAGTGCTCCACTACTATATTATAATATTTGTTGTTAGTAAGTCACTATACACTTAAGATCAAAATTTACCCGGATTGGTTTATATAAACTGCCACGAGTTTGCTTGAAATTTTGTGTTTCCCATGAAATCACGGCTGCGGAATCGTTGTAAATGTTGAAGAAGTGTTTTCGTGAGTCTACTTTATCACAAACGCAACTATTTGAGTGGCACAAAGCATTCAGTGAAGGTTGTGAACTCATTGAAAACTTGCCTCAAGCGAGTTTCCCATCCATCTCTATTAATAACGACAACATCGAAAACGTTAGAGAAACAGTGCTTCAAAATCATCGTGTTGGCACCAAAGAGACAGCAAAGGATCTCAACATCTCTTATGGATCGACTTAACACGTTTTGGTTAATGTTTTGGGTATAAAGCAAGATCCAAATCTTTTACAAAATTACTTCAAGTAGAGGCCTCAAAAGAGATGCTTGACAACATAGCTAAGAACCCTACATTCAGACGTGAGACGTGGCTTTATGAATAGGTCGTCAAAACTGACCAACAATCTATGGCGCTCCAAAAATGAGCCGAAACTGAAGAAAACAAAATTCGCTAAAGGCACTGAAGGCCATTCCGGCGGAGGTTTAAAACAAGTGTTTGGAAAATTGTATTCGGCGTTGGGATGCTGTTATATATTGGCTCAAAAGTAGTCTGTTTTAAAGGCGATTAATAAGATTTTATTAAAATATGTGAAAATGTGTATTTTTTTGTCAGTTCGGGTCAAATTTGATCAAATAGTATGTAAGTTGCAAAATGTATATAATAGATAAATAGAAGAGGCATAATTATACAACAAACTCGTTCTTGTTGTTTTTAGAAACGACTATCACGCGTTCTCATTGTTGTGTTTCAGAATCTCAAAAATTTCAATAGTGTTTCCGTATTTTGTTGCAAAAGAGTGCTGAGTCTAAAGATTTGTATTTAGGACGAGTTTAAGAATAGTACAATAAAAATTTAAATATATTATATATTCCCTTTTTAGGTAAGATTTTAGGATTCACTAAATATAAATTTTTAATCTAGTTCTTAGTAACATACATATATTAGTTAATAGTTATTGAATGAACTTTTAAATTTTTCAACAATTTTAAAATTCAAAAAATGAAAATATTTAAAATTTCGCTCTGTTCCCACATTTTCTTTTGATTTACTCTAAAATTCTTTAGATTTTCGTATTCCTATCGTTTTGTTTTTTTAAATAAATCTTCCATTGATCAACTTACCGCTCAGTGAATTATGCCCACAACCAGGCGCTTTACCCAGCAGATAATCATCCTTGCAGATGAATTTATTGTCGTCCAGCACATAGAGTTGTTCGCCAGTGCTGAGCTGTTTGCGGCAGATGCAACATGTAAAGCAGTTGAGGTGGAATACTTTGTCGCGCGGCTTACGTACGAGATCGGAGGGAGCGATGCCTTGACCGCAGCCACTGCATTTTGTGCCATAGCGCCTGTGGAATGCACAAAAGAAATTCAAATTCCATTATTCAGATAATTAAAAGTTGTAGTAAAATTGAGGTATGAAGCTAAATGTTCTACTAGGCTCTGTTCTATAGAGTTTTTGATACGTGTAGAAATGATTTAAATGAACTATGGAAGTTTGTGAATTGGCTGATCAGTAGTGATTCTGGGTGTAAGTTTAGTATAGTAGTATCTACATTTCCGGCGTTAAAGATGTCAGGGTTAAACCATTGGGGATTACCTCGTTTCATATTCAGGGCTACTTTTCTTACATTTTGGGATTGTTGTTGTTTTAAGTATATATACCTTTTATATGGTATGTACATACGTAGGTGCCGAAAGTTTGGATAACTATTTCGTAATATCGGTTATTACTACCCAAAATCAGTCTTGTTTAAAATATTATATTGCTTATAAAACTAGTAACTAAAAATATTTATTTATTCAGCATTTGCAGAACCCATATTTTATTAGCGGTCTTGAGTTCGCTTAAACTAAGAGAGTGGTGAATCGCACAATCAATTGACTGAACATATAGGTAAATCAAAGGCAGGTAGAATAAAATTGAGATATCCTAATTATGCCCTGAATAGTTCTTGAAACGAACCTTTGTATTTGTGAAGGGTATTATAGCTTCGGTTCAACCGAATTTAACATTTTTTCTGGTTTTATATTAAGTTTCCTATGCAACGCTATAATTTTCGAACAAACTGTTCATATTGAATCACTATAGCATAAAGCTGTCATACAAACGGTCGATCGGTATCAAGTGCTTACATGGAAAACTTTTTTATTTGACGAGATATATATTCACGAAATTTGGCATAGATTATGATCTAAGGTAGTATTGCAATCTGCGAAGAAAGTGCTCAGTTTGGACCACTATAGCATATAGCTGTCAAAATCTAGATAAAGATCTTTTTATACTCTTTCATGCGATAAGAAACACATCTGTGAAAGATAGTATACATGTAGCATCGGTGCAACCAAAGTTTACGTTTTTTTCCTGTTTTTGTTTTGGTTTTTTTTTATTTCTTAAAACGTTGCAAATTTTTGTTATGCAGCACTAATCGCGTAATTGGAAAGCAATTTTCTATTTTATTCTTCTTTGGCGGCTGGAAGTGCGAAAATCCATTGACCTAATAATTTGAAAGTGCTAACAGGGAAAAAAGAATCAATTAATGTTTGGATAAAATATGCTTCTGGCCTTTAGTATTGGTTAGTTAGATTTCTAAATGTTTGCCAGTTATTTTTTATTTTTGTTATTGTTTCTTTTTTCTTTCATTCTGAAGCCATTATTGTTTTACAGAGATACCGATTTAGAGTATACAATAAATCTAGTAGTTATACACATACATATGTATTTAAGTATACCTTATACGCCTTTCACAAGGTATATAGGTAAGCAGTGAAATTGACTGACCCACAAAGGATAACAGTTATGTGTACATGTTTGGATAAATGTTGATTTATAGTGAATACTACACTCTTCAATCACTTTGTACCGTTAGCTTGCGATGCAATAAAAGTGGGCAAAACTGCAATGAAAAAAAATCACGCAAAAAAAAATTATAAATAACACGAAGTACTCTTGTACACACGAGTATATAACACATCAGCGCTGATGATCAGCGCTTAGAACACATCAAAGCATCAAAACATCAATTCAACTAAATCAAAGCTAAATCCACTGCAGTGCAGTAAAACAACAAACGCTGCGGAAGAAACAAAAGAGGCAAATGCAAAACACAAAAAAAAAATATTAACTGCTTGCTAAATGAGTATTGAAGCGCGACAAAAAAGAAATAATTGAAGCACGAAAATGATTGAGTGTATGCTTGTATGTGTGTTCCTGTGTTTGAATCACATTTTAATCGAAGCGAAATGCAAATGAAATTGAATTAATAGGAAAAATCACACTTGAAATACACTCGTACATCACACGACAAAAGGTAGTCATAGCGGTAGCAGCAGCAATGATTGGAATTTTTGCTTTCTCAATTACAATTACGGCAGTAAAAAATAGAGAATAATTACAAAATATGTATAAAAGGAGTGTGAGTGGCTCTAGCAGACTTTCAACATGTCCTGCATGCCACCACATATCGCAATCAATACGCAGCGCTGCCTGCCACCACGTACCATATATGTATGTATATGTATGTGTGTACCTTATCACAAAACCACTCGCCGCTGACAATGACAACAGAATCCCAGTACAATGAGTGGCCTGATTTGTTTTTGTATGTAGCATGTACTCTGTATGTTATGTCTATTGACTGCCGCGTTTTGATTAAGTGACTGACTGACTGCAGCCCTATGGTAGCTAACGCGAAGTGTCAGGCTATTACCACTTAAATATTTGCAAAAACCAGCAATGCAAATGGAATTTAAAACAAAAACATCCGGCAACAATTTATGCGAAATAGAGTAACGGTGGAATTTTTGCAATCACAGCCAATTGAAAATACACAGTAGCGGCTAAGCGCGAGAGCTCTGCGAAATCGTTGGCGCGGATTGCATTCAAGCAACGCAAATTTCTTGCCTTTTTTTCTTTAAGTGGCATACTTTTTATTAATAATAGTTTTGTTTTTTATTTTAAAAATACAAGTTTTTTTTGGTTTTAAATTTTTTTTAAATAAATTGTTGAGTTTATTTTTTCCTCATTAGTGGCTTTACATTTGTTATTTAAAATTCTTATCTGTTGTTGCGCTCATTTCACTTCCGTTACATTTCGCCCTTACACTCATTCTTCGCAAATTTTTTCTCACACCTTTCACTAGTTTTATGAGCTTTTCTGAAATTAATTTTTTTAATTACTTTAGTGGCTAATAAAGTTTTGGTATGCATTGTCTAGTAATCTTAATTGTTACTATGATGTTATGGTTTTGCAAATTCCTTATGTTAATAAGCTATTTTTATATTTTCTACTCCTTTCTCTTAATTAATATATCTGGGATGCATTTTTTTTAAATTTTCCTTAAAATAAATATATTTTATTGCCAAAACACTGACTCGCTAACTTGGATAATTCGAAATTTCGGATGAATTGGATGAATATGTGACCAAAAACTTGACCAAAGATGGACATAAACATGTATGCTTGCATTTGGAGAGAATGGAATGACTCGTTTTCGACCTGTTCATATTCCGATTCTGTTTGAAAAGAAGAAATTCATAATATCTTTAGCTTTAAAAATAGTAATTTTGAAACTAAGAAATTTTTGTTTCAGAATCGTCAGTCAGATTTAATTTCAACGAATGAATGAATATTTTTCGCTTATTTCATTTTTTTTTTGTTTTGTTTTTATAAATCTGACATCACGGTATTTATATTTTATTATTTTACTTGGCATAGTTATTTTGATGTCTTAGGTTCAGGCTGAATTTAAGATTACCTAATTGGTTCTTTTCTCTTCTTCATATATTCGTAGGTGAAATTTTTCACAACAATCCTTAATTCTTTTTACATATATTTCCATGAGAAAACGAGTTTTTTATTCAATGTTGTCAAAGGAGCTGAACGATTTAGTAGTTCTATGTTCATTTAAACTTCTATCGGCCTACTAAATTTCTTTTAAAACATGCTACTCAAATAATAAGATAGATGAGGCCTACATTTAGGCGCATTGGGTATTAAATATGAAATAACTGCCTTTCAATATGCTACAATCCAAATTGCTTATAATAATTCTTATACTAAATAGATTTGTTGGTGTATACTACAAGTATATATTGTATATGATAAAGTGACTGTAGTAGGTGTTTCCATTCGTTATCGCCAAAACGATATAAAATTTGTTTAAATATATATTTTTTATTTTGTTTTAAATATTTTTCTGGGTTTTTGTATTCAATTTTTTTTGTGTTAAATTATTTATTTTACCTATTTCCTAGTTTTGATTAAATTTTGCTTTTTTTTATTATTTAAATTTCTTTTTTATTTCTTTCAAATAATATATAATTATATTTTTTAATTAATGTTTTTACATTTTTTTTATAATTATAATTAATATGTATTTTTATTTATATTTATTTTTTAATTTTGTAATATTTTTTTCTTTAAATTTTTATTATTTGTTTAAATTTTTTTTCTTTAATTACTTGTTTTAACTGTTTTTTTAATTTATTGTTGTTTGTTTTAATGTTTTTTTTTTAATTTTTTATATTAATTTATATTGTTTAATTAATAATTTTTATATATTATATAATAATTATTATGCAATTTTTAGTTTATTTTTTTATTATTTTTTCTGTGGGTTTTATTTATAAATATATTATGATTATAATGTAATTTTTATTTCATGTTTTTATTAAATTGTTTATTTGAACGTTCTATATATTTTGTTTTTTATATTGTTTAAAAAAAATATAATATTATAATTATGCATTTTATATTTCAATATATTGTATTTACTTTAATAAAATTTTTTGTTTTAACTTTTTTCGTTTTAAATTTTTTTTATTTTATATATTTTTTATTTTTTATATGTTTTAATTAATACGTTTCTTACTTACTTTTGTTTTTTATTTTTTTAGTATTATAATTTTAATTTTTTATTTAATTAGTATTTTTATATATATTATAATTACTATACAATTTTTTAATAATTATTTTCTTTATTTATTTTTATTATATATATTATTATAATTTTTTTTTGTAATTACTATTTTTTATTTTTGTTCAATGTTGGTATGTAATGAAAAAGTCGTAAATATTCTTACATTTATTTTTATACAATTTCTCTTTTTGTGCGCATATTTTTCAATTTCTTACTCACCTAAAAAAATCATTCCTACAATATAATTTCGATTCTCTACTAAAGCATTTTTCCGTTAACGGTTGAAGGCATTCACAGCAACGTACGCAGGATGCATGCCATCCGCGTTCAAGGACATTTAATAAAAATTTATCTAATATTGGTTTATTGCAACCCGCACACGGATCACCAACACCAACGGGCGGTTCACTGCGTCCTGCAAAGAAAGACAAAAAATTGCGCGAATGTTAGATAATGTTTAAAAATGGTCTTATTTTGAAAGAAAAAAGTTTAAATAACTAAAATATTGCTAAAAAAAATAAAAATATATAAAATTATTTCTAAATTTTTGTCTTTAAATTATGTTTCTCAGTTTCAATATTTACATATTCCAAGTAGTGAAATATTATATATTCTTCTCATATATGTATTTGTCTATATTTATTTCTCACCTGAGCAAGCAATTTTCGTTAATAGCTTTAAATGTTTAAATCTTTCGCTTTAACTCATAAATCTTTAATGAAATTTTGCACTCAAAAACATTTAAATGCCAGACTATTCCGTTGAATGACGTTGATTGTGCAAAGTTTACTGCTGCATTACTTACATACACATTCTTATGTACATACACTTGTATGTGTGTACTTAACAAATGTGTGAATGAATGCCAGCACGTTACCACCCCCTCCCCGCCGCCCACAAGCCGAATTCAACAAACTATTAACAGAAGATTCTCATGCGGAGCCATTTAAAAGTGTGCTGATGTGCATATGAGTGTGCGCATGTATAGGTGTGTATGTGAAATAAGTGAGGCGAGTGAACATTTAAAATCCGTTTTACGTTTTGAGGGCAAATTTAGCACCTAAACTCATTAAGTTTGCACAATTCAACTAATTCCGCATGCAACGCCATGCACAAACAGTCAAACAAAGCCACCGCACACACACACACGCGTACATATAAAAACATACATATGGAGAAGAGCAAACATATAACGGCTTGTGCGCTGGTGCAGTCGAACAATAAAAACAACAACTAGTGCTGAGTAGCGCTGAAACTCACACACGCGCGTAAAAAGTGAAAGCAACAAAAACAACAAAAACCACAACAACAACAAATAGTAGTTGAGCAGTAAAATGCGCAAATGTTGCGATGTCAAAACAACATCATTAACACTATTCACCAACAACAATAACAACAACAACCAACCAGCTTTTGACTTTGAACGCACGCATGCGCCGCACACCACCAATTAAAGCAGCGTCCAAGTGCGCCCCTCTAAAGACTTAATGGCCACCTGCAGCAGTTGATATTTTTGCCGGCGTCGCTTGCAATGATTCTTCCACTTTTTATCGTTTTTTATTGCCTTGCTGCCATTAAGTACGCAAATTTTTTGGTTTTTCTGCTTGTTTTGTTCGCCAGCAATCAAGTCTCTACAATTAAGTTTTTTGTATGCATGTGTGCGTGTGTGTGTGTGTGTATTTACATGCTTGTTGCAACATTTGTTTGCCTTTTCAACATTTTATGTTGATAATTGCTTTGCATGCACGCAACACCAGCGCACGCACACATACACCTTCATAAACATATATTTGCTTGCAACATATACTTAGTGGCAACATAGTTGTGGTACGCGTTGGCAGGAGTGTCGCTGGGGCGGAGTGCACAAACGTTTAATTTGCCCCAAAGTCAAATTATTTGTTAAATGGTCAAGGCGGTGCTGATGCTACTTACTTAGCGTTGAAGGATGTATTTAGTCGGTAAATTTGGTATGAAATCAGTTGGAAAGGATTTAACTGAATGTGTTGTATGGGAACTGGAAAGTGGTGGAGCGTAAATTTTAGTAGTTTTAGATTGAAAAGTAAATTTGTAAAAGCTGGAAAGAGCTGAGGTTTTGCCTGAATATTACTTTCAGAGCCTTAATAAATACTGGCTGAAAAGGAATTAACGAAACAGTTTATGAGTAAATGTTAAAAAATATAATAATATAATAGTGAATATAGTAGGCGATATTCGGCATCATTATAATTTTAAAATCGTCTATGGCTAAGCCAGTCAGATCTAGAATGTGCTGTAGTCATCCTTTAGGGGTTATATCCACTTGTGAATTAACAAAAAAAAATATTTTTTGCGTATATACATACATATGTATATCGAATGTACGAGTACATATATTTGAGAATACTGAGTTGTAGTTGGTTCGGCAAATCGGTTTTGAAATATGACCGTATTTGTAAAAAAATATTTGATTTTGTGTAAATTAAAAAAAATATATATATATATTTTCGTAAAATTTTAAAGCAGTTTTTCAGAGTCTGTGACCAAAATTTCTCGGAAACGGCTCGACCGAACAACTTGAAAACATCACACGGCCTACTTTGATATATTTGTCAGGGAATCATCAAAAAAATAAGACCTGCGGTAATAATTTCTTAAGCGACTCTGAAGTGTACATTTTTTCACAAAAACAAATACTTTTTTGTGGAGGTCGCCATTTTGTCAAAAATAAAAATTTTTACTTAGCATTTTATCAATTCCTGTATTTTTGCTTTTTGGATTTGAGGTAATGTTAAGCAGAAAATTCTTCCTCACTGCCAGACACTTTTTTTCCTAGAACCTTCTGAATCCTGGGTATCCAAAATTATTCAATATGAATCAGTACATAGTTAAAGTACATTAAATTATATAAATCTGCATTCTTTTATTTTTAAATTAAGGTATTGGCTAGCAAACTACATTTGCAGATACAAAATCTTTTGGTTTTGATGTGGTTCGTTAATTATTTGGTTTATTTTTTTTTTATATATCTATGCTATCTACGTTATTACTTTGGTATTCTTTCCAATATGTGCACGGCCTAAAGTTCATTTCTTAACATTATACCCATTTATCATTATATAAGAAAAATTTCATTTGCGAAGATGCGCTCACGAAGTAATTAAGGACTACTTAGATGTGAAAAGTTTCTATAAGTATAAAATAATTCCTGGAGTGGGGAAAAAATTAATAGTTAGAATTTAACTCCGAATTTTTTGAGTGATTACCTGGTATATAATATAATATTTTCATTTTTAAGTTCTAGAATTTATTTTGGTTTCGAAAGTGGCATTCTCCTCTTTCATAAATTATTTTCATTAACCGTTAATATTATTGTTTAGTGCCTACTTTTTTGCTAAAAGCACCGAAACTGTGCACGTGGGTCCTTTAAATAGCTATGTGTGTGTGCGTTTGATTGGTGATGTTGTAGGGGCTGTCAGCACCTTCTTGTGGCACGCATTGAAAATGCCGCATGCATGGCATGCTTAAATGTGCTCAAGTATACAACTATATGCTCACGTGGTTTTATGGAAGTATATGTGTATTTGAATACAATCGTACATACATACATGCAAGTATACATATGTATGTATTTATGTATATACTATGAATAACAGCGGCACACAAGCATTATACATTTTTGTTTTATGTGTCGAGCATAGCTTAAACTTTCAACACCTTTATTATAATATATGTATGTAAGCATACATAGCAATGTGCGTATGTGTGTGAGTAGCTGTTGGTTGGGGAAGAATGATTTCAAAGCTTTTTACGCCTACATAACAAACATTGTGAAGTATAAATATGAATGAACTGAATGAGTTGCTTTGTATAAATATATATGCTTGTATGTGTAATTAAATACAAATAACTGCGTAGTTTTCAGACTTTTACACCTTACAACAAATGCACACGCATACTCGTACTCACGCACAAATAGCTGTGGTTGTGTATAGAATTTGCCGCCCTTCAGGCATTGATGTACAATAAAACAAAATTCAAATACAAAGCCGTCAATGCATATAAAATCGGGTAGACTTTAAGTAAATAAATAAGTAAATTAATGTATATATTTGCATACACATACTCATACACAAATACATACATATACGAAATATTTCAAAAGCAAAGTGGCGCTGCTAAATAGGAGCCAGCTTTTCAGGTAGCGAGACAAGTTGAGGCGGAGTTGCCATCACTCCAGGCCGCTGGAAAGCGCGCCGCTCCGCTCATTTACGTTTTTGTTTTTATCACGCGCATTCGTCTCGTTTGCGTTTGTGAAGGGTGGAGCTCATTCCCAACCCCAAAAGTGCAACCGTTTAATGATACGGTTTCAGTTTCGGTTACGCTTAGCGCGGAGAATAGCGCGCTTGAGTCGAATTTTTGTGCGCTTGTGTTGATTTTCGCTTGGCCAGCAAATAGCCGGAGGGTAGTTTGCGTCGTCGACTATGTCGGTGATGGCGGCGTCGGAACGCCGCATAAATATTTATTAAGTCTACACACACACACACACAGCCAGACATATCTTTGCATACCGCTGACTACTAAGGCATTTAGTTGCAAGGTAAGATGTTGCATCAAGGCATAAATAAAGTGGAAAAAAGTCGAAAGACTTTATAAGCAAAGTCTACGGCAGTTGAGGTGTTCGGCAGCGCTTGTTTGCAGCTTATAGTTTGAAACTGGGAGTGAAAAGAAAAGGAGGACCCCACAAAATAGCCCCTGCAGGCAAGCAACCGCAATTGTGGCAGCATTATATTGTGTGCAGCACAGTAGATGCCATATACCATATATATACTCGTATGTACTCGTATATAAATTTCGTTGCAATTGCGCAAAAGTGGAGCAAAAGTGCAGAAAATTTAAACAACTTGTACAACAACAACAATTGTAGCACTTTTCTGCTCTTCGTGCGAAAACTTTGTATATAAGTGTTGGTGTGTGCGTCTAGCAGTTTGGTTTGGCATTTGAAATGTTGGCTGCCAAAGTTTTGTGCAAACTTTTTGCTGTGTAGCTTTGCAGCTTTTTTTTTTCTTTAAACTCTTTTTCGGTGATTCTTTCACTATGCTTCTATTTTATATTTTTTTTTTTTGCTGTGGTTTTTTTTTTTGTAGCAACTTTGCTGCAGCTGCAAAAGTGGGAAAACTTGGAAATTTACTTATTTTGATGCAAAAAGTTTCGTATCTATGTTTTTTTTTTTGTGCATTGCGCTTGTGTAACCCTTAATGTCAAAACTGTCGATTTTGGTGTGTTTGAGTTTGGCGAAGTTTTGTTCTACTTTTCTTTTCTTTTTTGTACTATTTTTATTTTTTTTTGTTTATTTTTTTAGTTAACGTTTTATATTTTCTTACCACGAAGTACATCTTTTCTTTATTTGCATATGCTTTTAAAATTGAATGAAGTAGT